CCTGTTTGTGTCCTTCTCATATGGTCACCTGCCAGGTCCTGGGGGAGTGGGAGCTGAAGCCCAGTGAGAAAGGCAAAGGGACGATGTCAGACCCAGGGGCTAAGACCCCCACCTGCAGCCAGGTAGCTTCTGGAGTGGATGAGGAGCAGCAGGAAAGGTCGTGGCCTGGTGTTGAGGGGTTCACTGTTTCATCTCATTCCTGTGGGTGCCAGAACTTATCCAAAGGGAAGACTCAGTGTCTCTAGCAACAGCAGGTCAGAGACAGAAAGCGTCCCAGAGAAGCAGGAAGGATTGTACACCATGGACACGGTGTATGGTTTTATAGTAGTGCCTCTCTCTCTCTCTCTTTCTCTCTCTCTCTCCCTCTCCCTCTCTCCCTCTCCCCCTCCCCCCCCCCCCAGATTTCGTGTTCCTGTTAATGGAAAATATCGGTGGTGTAAGTTCCCCTGGATCTCCTCATCTTCATGTAAGTTTGTCTGTTCCCCCATCCCTCCCTTGTTTCCTTCTTTTCCTTCCTTCCTGAGTTTTTTGATCAGGGTCCTGTGAGGCTAAAAGGAATGGCCTGGGAATGCTTTTTCTCTAGAGCTCAGGCCATTTTTCTGAGTTCACTACATGTATTGAAAGAGTTTGTATTCTTGTTCGTGGAGGACTGAGGGCCCTTTTTCTGTGCTGGCTGTCAGCCAGGAGACACTCTGACTTCAAATGCTACCTGCTTTTCTCCTTACCTGTCTTTTCCATCTTTCAACCAATCACAACTCATGGAGTCCTTCTCAGGCGCCTCCCTTCTCTGCCTCCAGGCTCTGCGTTTTTTTTCTATCATTTTTGAACACATTTTATTTTTCTTCTTCCCCAACTCTTTTGGTTCTTCCCCTTTCCCCTCATGGCAGCATTCTCCACTTAATCCTTGTTACATCATCCCCAGAAGAATTGGTCAGATATTGCCTGTGTCACAGTCCTGAGCATCTTTAGGAGGGGCTGTCCTTGTGAGCCTGTGCTCCTCTTCACTGTCCTGAGTTCTCACAGTCATGATTGCTTTCAGCTGGAGAAAAACCTAAGACTTTGGAGTCCCAGAACCCATCTCTGCTCTCTCTATCTCCAAGAAAGGAAGAAAATAACAGGGATCTTCTTGGAGAAATGGCCCACGTGAGGGCCTGGACTCTCCAGCAGTTAACAGCAGAAGAATCTTTCTGAGGAAGAATGGAGGAGCTGAGAGCCCAGGCCGGGAAAGCAGGGTTGTGTGAAACACTCTTTAATCCTGTGTGCTCCCTGCCCCAATCTAGCAGCTAGTGAATGACAGCTGACCTGAGTATAAATGCCCGGACTATAGAACTGTGATAAAGGGTTTGTCCAAGGAAAGGGGCTTTTGCTGTTTTTGTTTTCACAGAGGAAATTGGTATTTCTATTCTAAAGTTTTCTGAAAGTCAGCAGTGAGCTTCTGGAGGGTGAGTTACCTGCTCTGCACAGGGAGGCTGAGGCCAAGGCTTGTGTGTGGGCTCTGCTGTCACCAAGAGGTGAGGGTGCCTGGGAGAGTCTTAGTCTTTCCTGGGTTTCAGGTTCCTCATGGGTAAGGTAGGGGCTTATTGTACCTCTCTGAGGTCCCTTCCTACTCTGTTTCTCTGAGTCTCCGAGGAATTGAGATGGTTTTCAGTGCTCCCTGGGACCGTCAGCCGAGACCTGACTGTGTGTGTCTCCTGCAGGAGCCTGAGCTGAGTCTACATCCTGAAATCCCAGAGCTGAGGAAAGAAAGAAAGTCAGCAAGTTTAGGGGATGAGAATAATCCACAAAGGATAAGCCATTGATAGATGAAAACCAAAGAAGGGGAGAATAAGGACAAACTGGGACAGAAGCCTCAGGGGAAATGGGCAATGCCTATGATCACTTAAATTCTCAGGAAGCAGCATGAGCTGAGCAGTGGGGACTGAGAGAGAAACTACTCCACAGGAATCTCCTGCCTCTGGCCAGGGAGAGCCATAGGGTAGATCAGAGCTGGTTTATAGTGAGGGACAGCTTCAACTCCAGGAGGGGGAGGATGCGCCCCCCTCCCTCAGACCCAGGAGCCTTGACCTCGGGGCTGCCGTAGCAGTGGATGCTCTTCAGGTCACTGTGGGTTCGAGGGAATAACCGTGCTTAGAGAAGGGTTGGAGGTGTTCATTCTTAACACCGAACAGCTCTGCCCTAGGTCAGGTGCCAGAGTAAGTGTCCCTCAGCTTGTATATGAAGCAGTGATACTTTACTATTCTTCTGCACCTTCAGTTGAGGGAAGTTTCTCATAAATATTTATTGAGTATTTAATTTTCTTTATACTGTGCTAAGCACTTGGGATTCAGCTATTTAATGTCTCCAAAGAAAAGCCAGTGAGTGGAAGAACAGAAACATCATTTCAACAAGATACAGTAGTTCTAACCAACTGAGGTGTTGTGGCAGCCCGGAGGCTGAAAGGGTATGTCAAAGGACATTGCTCCTAATGACGGGGGAAGCATAAGAGAACATTTTCAGATTGGCCAGGCCTGGTGGCTAATACCTATAATCCCAGCACTTTGGGAGGCCGAGGCGGGTGGATCAGAAGGTCAAGAGATCGAGACTCTCCTGGTTAACATGGCGAAACCCCATCTCTACTGAAAATACAAAAGCAGTAGCTGGGCATGGTGGTGCGTGCCTGTAGTCCCAGCTACTTGGGAGGCTGAGGCAGGAGAATTGCTTGAACCCAGGAGGTGGAGGTTGCAGTGAGCTGAGATCACACCATTACACTGAAGCCTGGGTAACTAGAGCAAAACTCTGCCTCAAAAAAAAAAAAAAAATTTTCAGAACAGGCTAGCCTTCCTTCAAGCTCCCACAGGAGAGGATCCTGGGGCAGGGACGGTATAGGGCAGGCACCTCTCTAGAGAAGGGGATTTGCAGCATTCTGAGGGAAGGAGAATCCTTAGTAGACACTGGGGACAGAAATGTAGGCGAAAGGGTCGGAGGTTTGTAATCAATTTTATTCAGTCATGGATGAACACTGCTGAGAGACCCCTCTGTGCTGGGCCCTTAGCTGAGAACCACATGACCACAGAGGTGAGTAAAATAGGATCCCCGCTTTCACACAATTCTCAGTCTAGTGACTGGTGATTGATGAGAAGTGTAGTCATGGTGGGTTCATTGGAACCAGTGGCCAATGCTGCATGAGATGACCTCAGTGTATGGCCTGGGCCAGTGATCCTGGACTTCAGCCATATTTCAGCATCCTGAGGTACAGTGCACCAATACCTCTGCTCCATGTTGAGTCAAAGCAGTTAACACAGCCAAGGTTTTCAGAAGACACTGATGATATCAGTAGCTATTGACTGTTTCCAGCTGGGCAAACAAAGAAGTAAATTTAATAAGTCTTCTAAATTTGTCCTTGCCATGATGATAAATAACTTTATCTTGATAATGAATGAAATTCTGGCAAATTAATTATAACTTGCCATAATGAGAAATAACTTTATGCTGAATACAGCAGACATACAAGCCCTTGAGGACACATGCCTGAGGATTCTGATGAGGATATTATGTACACGTTTGGACCTACAGTCCAGCTTTGAAACAGTGGAAGACCTAGTTTCAAATTCAAGGTTTCTTTGAGTAGAAATTCACTTTACCTCTCTTTGCATGGCAATGGGGCCAATCTTCCCTGAGGTGCCCCTTACAAGAAAAGAAATCATGCTGGTAAGATTCCAGACTTCAGCAGACATGGGTAAGTAAGGAAGTCTTACAAATGTATTCTGGCCACCTAGTGAGAAATCAGAAATTTAGCAAGTTCACTCACATGTAGGACAGTTGTGTGCACTAGATCAGAGGCCCTGCTACATGAAGAATAGAGCCCTAACAAGGGAAAGTATTTCTTCCCGTCCTAGGACATCACTGCCAACTTCAGGGAAGTGGGAACACAACTGCCTGCCTTAGGGTATGGGTTACTGTTACTTTTGTGCCTGGAATGTGTCTGATATCCTGCTACCTGTACCCATTTCAGGGAGCCTTGGGAGGAGCCTGAATCACTGATGGAATTGCATGGAGATGGTTGAGCAAGATGAGGGTAAGTGCAGGGAGCATGGCCAGGTCATACTGGGAGACAATGAGCAGCACTGATGGGGACAAAGATAAAGTCAACAGTTTGTGCTTCAGCCAGGCGTGGTGGCTTATGCCTAGAATCCCAGCACTTTGGGAGACCAAGGCGGGTGGATCACGAGGTCAAGAGATCGAGACCATCCTGGTCAACAAGGTGAATCCCCGTCTCTACTAAAACTACAAAAATTAGCTGGGCATGGTGGTGCGCACCTGTAGTTTCAGCTACTCGGGAGGCTGAGGCAGGAGAATTGCTTGAACCCAGGAGGCGGAGGTTGCGGTGGGCCGAGATCGTGACATTGCACTCCAGTCTGGGTAACAACAGCGAAACTCTGTCTCAAAAAAAGAAAAAAAAACAATCAAAAAAGGAATTTGCTTTTAGTAATAAGTATTTTTCTATTTACATGAGAATTAATCTCAAATATAAAACCTAAACCATAGCTCATAGTTATTCTTTCTTAATGGAGCTATCAGTAAAATCTTCTTCATAAAACATACATTGTGGTTATAAAAAGGCAAAAGTTGACCAGGTGCAGTGGCTCATGCCAGCAGTCCCAGCACTTTGGGAGGCCGAGACGGGTGGATCATGATGTCAGGATATCAAGACCATCTTGGCCAACATGCTGAAACCCTGTCTCTGCTAAAAACACAAAACTTAGCCAGGCATGGTGGCACGTGCCTGTAGTCCCAGCTACTTGGGAGACTGAGGCAGGAGAATCGCTTGAACCCAGGATGCAGAGGTTGCAGTGAACTGAGATTGTACCACTGCATTTCAGCCTGGTGACAGAGCAAGACTGTCTCAAAAAAAGGAAGGAAGAAAAGCAAAATTCTTAGTGAAAATCATAGGTGTACCTTAGAAGAGAGAATTAAATATAGTCAAGGGAAGACCAAGTCTCATAGTTCTCTTGTATCAGGGAAATGCCAGGTAACAGAGGATATTTCCCATGCTGTTAAAGCAAGGTTGCAGACACTAATGAATTCTGGGCCCAATACTCTAGGAGGGCACCCCTCTGTCCTGGAAAATGGTACAGGAATGAATACTTTTCCTTTGACTCATTCTGGTTATTCATCCAGGATCACAGACACTAAACAATGGAAATATGGCCAAATTCATGATTTGCTAACTCTCTTCTCAGGTTTCTTATCTGACTCTTAGGATAACAGCATTACTTTGAAGCAGATGATGAAGATACGCTGTCCAAATATGTACACAGTTTTGACCAAAATGCCTGATACAAATTGGTCAACAAACAATGACTGGATGATGATATGAATATTTACTGAATGACAGGGATCCCATGAATAACTGTGGAATAATTGTTGTGATTGCTTTTATTAGCAGTGCTCAAAACTCATCTCTGTGTGACCTTGCAAGTAAGCCACATAACTTTGTGAACGTTTTAAAATGAAGGAACGGGACAGATTTTCATTCTGCCACGGAATGTCAGGCCTCCCAGACACCAGAACATACATTTACGTAAAGCCTTTGATATATTTCCACGCAGTATCCCTACAGGTAGTTGGAGGATGGTGGGGGCTGCAGAGAGGCACGCTTTCCAATGGGATTGAGGCAGTCCTTCCTTGACTTTTACATGAATGCTGGGCAGCCCAGGGTCACACCCATTGCACCCTCAACTCAGGCAAGCCCAGCAGCCAAACATAGGAGACTTGGGCTACAGAACAGTCTTCCAAATCCCAGGCTCAGAAAACCGAGGTGGAGATGACGGCTGAGAAAGTGAGGGGGTGGTTCAGGGGATCACTCTTCCCTACTCGTTCCTCTCATCTCAAATTCACCTTCCATTGCACAGCAACACTGAGGACCACCAACCACCCCTGACCATCACCTTGATCTTGCCATGTTTGGTTAGTAGGATGCACCCACACATGACCAACTCAGAAAAATATCTGTCAAACATGTTTTCGTAAGAACCGCTCATGGCCCTGTTATTTTCAATATATGGAAAAAATGAAATGAAAACAACAAAATCATACCAGGTTTCCAAGACTTCCCAAGATAGATGGTCACACATGCTTTCAGGAGATCTCTATAGAAATGGTTTCAATGATGTGACACCTTGAAAAGAGCTCTTCTGGGACTAGAATGACATCTATAAGTGACAAGTATGAGATGTAGTGTTCAGTGACATTAAACAGAATTTAAGGCTGTTTTTTAGAGGAAGCTTTGGACATAGATATGTCACACTGGTCTTAATTGTAATGAAAAGCCTCTACTGCCACAAACATTAGTGTACTGGCACCTGCCAGTAAGAAAACTAAATCAGCATAACCATGGGATGCAGCAAGAAGAATATTGAGCCAGGAAAGAAAATATTTTTAAGAAATGAGTTACTCATTGACTTTCTAGTGGATACAGAAAAAACACTCAGAGGATATCATGGCAGTGTAATAGATTGATATCTTAAACTTGTGGAAAAGCCTTAAATTCTATTTTAACATGTGAGAAGGACTCACATGTTTAACATGACTGACTTCATGAGTAGCATTAAGGAAGTATCACGTGTTGGGAAACTGTTTCTGCCTTGATGATTTTATACACATAAGAGATGAAAAATGAGGCACATGCTTAGATGTATTGGGAATGAGATGGCACTGTGGCATTGTCACAACGGTACACAAATACTGAGAGTGACTTATAGAGTAATGGTCCCCATCTGTTGTGACCTCAGGTGAGACCAGGAGGCCTGTGTTTTAGCAAACCCTGGGCAGTTGGAATGAAGAGCTCCTAAGATTCCATGACACGCCCAGCTTTTAATTCTGTTATTGCAACAGCAGACGGTTACCTGGGACACTGGCCGCTATCTCTCTCACTCTTGTCAGAGTCTGAGCTACAGGCAGCTCCTTCAGTTCTCAGCTTCAACCTTGTTTTTGTGGTTAAGGACCTTAGCTAAAGTGCTGTGAGGAGGGATCGAGTTTTTCTCAACAGTAAGTTAAGAATTTGAGTTCCTGACATCCCCCAGTCCTGATGAAACCTATTTGATTTCCAGTTTTTAACCCATCATGTGTTTGCGTTTCTTCTCCCAGTCCCTGGCCCTACCTGTGGTGCCCCAAACGTCGGCATGATATCTCGCAGGACGTGCTCCAGGAAGACCACAGAGGCAAACTTTCCAGATACCATCCGGAATTCCTACTCCCAGCAGGAAGAGACCAAACCAAATATTGGAGCCAGCAAAAATAGACTTCTTCTGAGTCAGGTGGCTTACTTCCTGAACTACCAGCTGAAGACCTACAGTAAGTTCTATAGGTTGACCACCATGAAGGTGATGAAGGATGTCCTGTCTTGTCTCAAGAAACTAACCGTTCTCTTAATCAAAATTAATTTCATCCTTCCCATACTTTATTTTAACATTTACTTAAAATGGAAGACAGTGGCGAAAGTATTTAGCAACTTTTCCACATCTACAGTAATGTGGGTGCGGGACTGGGGTTAAAATCCCAGAGATTGATTTCTGACACAGGCACCGAACCACCTGTTTTTCTCAGCAAAAGGCTAAATCATGTTTACGGGAATCCTCTCTGTACCATATAAGATGCTACATACAAGTAGCATCCAGTCTGTTGGGCTTAATGTCTGAGGCTACTGAACTTCCATTTGGTTCCGGTTTCTGCTGAGGCCCAGTAGGCAAAGCTGTATTCTGGGACACTGGGAGAAACACAGTGATAGCGCACAGTACCCACTATGAGAGGCTGCAACGGGACCCTGCTCCTAATAGAACCTGTGGTATCTATAAGTGGCACCATCAAGGGCAGGGAGTACCCTGGTACTGGTGCCTCAGCCTCCCAATCAGCTGTGATCTCCGATGGGCACCAGCACAGTAGAGGCAGGGTTTCACCATGTTGGCCAGGCTGGTGTTGAACTACTGAGGTCAAGTGATCTGCCTGCTTGAGCCTCCTAAAGTGCTGGGATTCCAGGCAGTGAGCCACCATGCCTGCTCCACAGATTCTTTTTTTCAGTAGAGATTGTTAGAATTCATCCCTTGGTCCAGTCTCCTATATAAATTTCTCTAACAATTCATTGGCAATGATATATGATCAGATAAATCAGTATTGCAACAATGCTTCTGGAAAGTACTTAGGGCAATTTTTGAAGATTTTGGGGACAAAGGTTTAATTTTTTGCACTGACTTAGGTCAGATGATGTGACTTAAGATCTACCAGATGAGGGAGATTTTGTCCCATGGATCTGAAAAGCAGGCTCATCTACTTCTAGGGTGACCTAATCTAGGGACCAGTAGAACATTCCCTTCAGAATATCACATTCTGAAACGGAGAATATTTTACGTCCTTGCGCTATGACGAACACTGTTTGTGAAGTGTGATTTGCTTAATGTGACCTGCTCTTTTGAATTTGTTTACAGGAGATCGAAAAGATGACGATGAAGAACAGAAGGGCAGAGACAGCAAAAATAAACTTCTTATGAGTCAAGTGGCCTACTACCTGGGCTGCCGGCTGAAGACGGAAGGTAAGTTCTCTAGGTTCACTGTCTCGAAAGTGATAACAGTGTCCTGCCTTGTCTCTGAGAAACAATGTACTCTCTTCAGAGTTAATTTTATCCTACCCATACTTCTAGGAATATAGAAATGAGTATTTTAACATTTTGTTAAAATATGTTAACAAACTACTGGAGGACAGAGGCCAAAGTATTGAGCAACATTTCCACATCTGCAGTAAGGCGGGTGTGGGACTAGTGTTAATATCCCAGCAATTGATTCCTGATACAGGCACAGAACCACCTGTATTTCTCAGCAAGAGGCTAATCATGTTTAAAGGAATCCTTCTAACATAGACGATCCTGATAAAGGTAGAAGTGTTAATTTCCTGGTTTCAAGGTGACTGAGTAAAGACAAGTTGACTTTAAAGAGAATGAGAGAGGAGGTAAGAAGAGTAAAAGCAGGGAAAGAACATCTTCAAATCAACAGGCAAGGCTGTCAGTGACATCGCTCAGTCCCGATTAAACCAACTTGATGTCACCAGTTTCTAACCCATCATGCGTTTGGGTTTCTTCTCCCCAGTCCCTGGCTATCTGTGTTCTGCCCCAAATGTCAGCACGGTGGCATCTGGCAGGCCTCCTTCCAGAGAAAACACAGAAGTGAACATTCCAGAAGACATTGAGAAATCCTGCTCCCAGCAGGAAGAAAACAAAGCAAATTTCAGAGCCAGCAAAAATAGACTTCTTCTGAGTCAGGTGGCCTACTTCCTGAACTACCAGCTGAAGACCTACAGTAAGTTCATAGGTTCACCACCACGAAACTGATGAATGATGTCTTGATAATTTCGTCCTCCTCATACTTGCAGAAAATAGCAATGGGTATTTTAACATTTTGTTAAAGATGGAAGACAGAGGCCAAAGTATTTAGCAGCTTTTCCACCTCTGCAGTAAGGTGGGTGTGGGACTGGGGTTACAATCCCAGCTATTGATCTCTGACACAGGCACAGAACCACCTGTTTTTCTCAGCAAGTGGCTAAATCCAGGTTCACAGGAATCCTCTCTGTACCATATAAGATCCTGCAGACAAGTAGCATCTAGTCTGTTGGTCTAAATGTCTGAGGCTACTGAACTTCCATTCAGTTCTGGTTTCTGCTGAGGCCCAGTAGGCAAAGCTGTGTTCTGGGGACACTGGGGGGAAACACGGTGATGGCACACAGTACCAGCTGTCGGGAACTTAAGGGGTGCCCTGCTCCTAATAGAACCTGTGTTATCTGTAAGTGGGTCCATCAAGAGCAGGGAATACCCTGGTACTGGTGCGGCAGCCTCCCAATCAGCTGGGCCGGTGGGAACCACCACACTTGACTAACTTTTGTATTTTCAGTAGAGGCAGGGTTTCACCTTGTTGGCCAGGCTGGTCTTGAACTCCTGAGGTCAAGGGATCCACCCTCCTGGGCCTCCTAAATTGCTGGGATTCCAGGCTTGAGCCACCATGGTGGCTCCATAGATTGTTTTTTCAGTAAAGGTTGTTAGAATTCATCTCTCGGTCCAGTCTCCTGTATAAATTTCTCTAACCATTCATTGACCATGATATATGATGAGATAAATCAATATTACAGCAGTGCTTCTGGAAAGTATCTAGGGCAATTTTTGTAAGATTTTTGGGGAAAAAGTTTTAATTTTTTGCCTGATTAAGGTCTACCGGATGAGGGAGATTTTATCCCATGGATCAAAAGCAGGCTCATCTACTTCTAGGGCAACTTAGTCTAGGGCCCGTTAGACATTCCTGTCAGAATACCACATTCTTACACTGAGAATATTTTACATCCTTGTGCTATGAGTGGGGGCACTGATTTGGTCTTGTGTGAAGTGTGATTTGCTTAATGTGACCTGCTCTTCTAAATTTGTTTACAGGAGATCGAAAAGATCACGATGAAGAACAGAAATGCAGAGACAGCAAAAATAAACTTCTTATGAGTCAAGTGGCCTACTACCTGGGCTGCCGGCTGAAGACGGAAGGTAAGTTCTCTAGGTTCACCATCATGAAAGTGATGAACAGTGTCCTGTTTTGTCTCTAAGAAACGATACACTGTCTTCTTGAAAGTTCATTTCATCATGCCCATACTTCCAGGAATGTAGCAATGGGTATTTTAACATTTTGTTAATGATGGAAGACAGAGGCCAAAGCATTTAGCAACTTTTCCACGTCTGCAGTAAGGCGGGTGTGGGACTAGTATTAATATCCCAGCTATTGATTCCCGATACAGGGACAGAACCACCTGTTTTTCTCAGCAAGAAGCCAAATCATGTTTACAGGAATCCTCTCTAAAACTTATAAGCAAGATAAAGGTAGAAGTGTTTATTTCATAGTTTCAAGGTGACTGAGTAGCTAAGGCAAGTTGAATTTAAGGAGACCAAGAGTGGAGATGAGAAGAGTAAAAGCGGGGAAACAACATCTTCAAATCAATAGGCAGTGCTGTCAGTGACATCCCTCAGTTCCGATTAAAGCAATTTGACGTCACCAGTTTCTAACGCATCGTGTGTTTGGGTTTCTTCTCCCCAGTCCCTGGCTATCTGTGTTCTGCCCCAAACGTCAGCACAGCGGCATCTGGCAAGCCTCCTTCCAGAGAAAACACAGAGGTGAATGTTGCGGAAGGCATTGAGAAATCCTGCTCCCAACAGGAAGAAAACAAACCGACTTTCAGAGCCAGCAAAAATAGACTTCTTCTGAGTCAGGTGGCCTACTTCCTGAACTACCAGCTGAAGACCTACAGTAAGTTCTACAGGTTCACCACCATGAAAGTGATGAATAATGTCCTACCTAACCACTTTCTTAATCAAAATTAGTTTCATCCTCTTCATACTTGCAGAAAATAGAAATGAGTATTTTACCATTTTGTTAAAGATGTAAGGCAGAGGCCAAAGTATTTAGCAACTTTTCCATGTCTGCAATAAGGTGGGTGTGGGACTGGGATTAAAATCCCAGCTATTGGCCGGGCGCAGTGGCTCATGTGTATAATCCCAGCACTTTGGGTGGCTGAGGCAGGTGGATCACGAGGTCAAGAGATCGAGACCATCCTGGTCAACAAGGTGAAACACTGTCTCTACTTAAAATACTTAGCCGGGTATAGTGGCGTGCGCCTATAGTCCCAGCTACTCGGGAGGCTGAGGCAGGAGAATTGCTTGAACCCAGGAGATGGAGGTTGCGGTGAGCCGAGTTTGCGCCATTGCGCTCCAGCCTGGGTAACGAGCGAAACTCCATCTTAAAAAAAAAAAAAAAATCCCATGTTTTTCTCAGCAAAGGGTGAAATCATGTTTACAGGAATCCTCTCTACTGTATAAGATTCTGCAGACCAGTAGCATCTAGTCTGTTGGTCTAAATGTCTGAGGCTAGTGAATTTCTACTTGGTTCTGGTTTCTGCTGAGCCCCAGTAGGCAAAGGTGTGTTCTGGGACACCAGGGGAACATAGTGATAGCACATGGTACCTCCTGTGAGGAGCTTGAAGGGGACCCTGCTCCTAATAGAACCTGTAGTATCTGTAAGTGGCACCATCAAGAACAGGGAGTACCCTGGTACTGGTGCCTCAGCCTCCCAATTAGCTGGGATCCCTGGTGGGCACCAAAGCACCTGGCTAATTTTTGTGTTTTTAGCAGAGGCGGTGTTTCACCATGTTGGCCAGGCTGGTCTTCAACTGAGGTCAAGTGATGTGCCCGTCTGGGCCTCCTAAAATGCTGGAATTCCAGGCAGGAGACACCGGGCGTTGTTAGAATTCATCCTTGGTCCTGTCTCCTATTATAAATTTCCCTAACCCTTCATTGAGCATGATATGTGATGATATAAATCAGTATTGCAGCAATGCTTCTGGAAAGTGGTTAGGGCAATTTTTGAAGATTTTGGGGACAAAGTTTTAATTATTTGCACTGACTTAGGTCAGAGGATATGTGATTAAGATCTACCAGATGAGGGAGACTTTGTCCCATGGATCTGAAAAGCAGGCTCATCTGCTTCTCAGGTGATTTAACCTAGGGCCTGTTAGAACATTTTCATCAGAATATCACATTCTTACACTGAGAATATTTTACATCCTTGTGCTATGACTGAACACTGATTTGGTCTTGGGTGAAGTGTGATTTGCATAATGTGACCTGCTCTTCTGAATTTGTTTACAGGAGATCGAAAAGATCACAATGAAGAACAGAAATGCAGAGACAGCAAAAATAAACTTCTTATGAGTCAGCTGAAGACGGAAGGTAAGTTCTCTGGGTTCACTGTCTCGAAAGTGATGAACTGTCTTGTCTATGAGAAATGATACATTCACTTCTTCAAAGTTAATTTCATCCTTCCCATACTTGTAGGAAAATAGCAAAGGGTATTTTAACATTTTGTTAAAGATGGAAGACAGAGGCCAAAGTATTTAGCAACTTTTCCACATCTGCAGTAAGGCGGGTGTGGGACTAGGGTTAATATCCCAGCTATTGATTCCTGACACAGGCACAGAACCACCTGTTTTTCTCAGCAAGAGGGTAAATCATGTTTACAGGAATCCTCTCTAGCATATAAGATCCTGCAAAACGTAGAAGCAAGATAAAGGTAGAAATGTTCATGTCCTGGCTTCAAGGTGACTGAGTAGCTAAGACAAGTTGACTTTAAGGAGATCAAGAGTGGACATAAGAAGAGTAAAAGTGGGGAAACAACGTCTTCAAATCAATAGGCAGTGCTGTCAGTCCCGATTAAAGCAATTTGACGTCACCAGTTTCTAACGCATCGTGTGTTTGGGTTTCTTCTCCCCAGTCCCTGGCTATCTGTGTTCTGCCCCAAACGTCAACACGGTGGCATCAGGCAAGCCTCCTTCCAGAGAAAACACAGAGGTGAACGTTGCAGAAGGCATTGAGATATCCTGCTCCCGGCAGGAAGAAAACAAACCGACTTTCAGAGCCAGCAGAAATAGACTTCTTCTGAGTCAGGTGGCCTACTTCCTGAACTACCAGCTGAAGACCTACAGTAAGTTCTATAGGTTCACCACCACGAAAGTGATGAATAATGTCCTGTCTTGTTTTGATAAACTAACCTCTTTCTTTGTCAAAATTAATTTCTCCTTCTTATACTTGTAGGAAATAGAAATGGTTATTTTAGTATTTTGTTAAAGATGGAAGGCAGAGGCCAAAGTATCTAGCAACTTTTCCACGTCTACAGTAACATGGTTGTTGGACTGGGGTTACCTGCTATTGATCTCTGACACAGGCACAGAACCACCTGTTTTTTTCAGCAAATGGCTAAATCATGTTTACAGGAATCCTCCCTGTACCATATAAGATCCTGCAGACAAGTAGCATCTAGTCTATTGGTCTACGTGTCTAAGGGTACTGAACTTCGATTTGTTTCCAGTTTCTGCTGAGGCCCAGTAAGCAAAGCTGTGTTCTGGGAACACTGGGGGAAACACAGTGATAGCACACAGTACCTCCTGTGAGGAGCTCGAGGAGGACCCTGCTCCTAATAGAACCTGTGGTATCTGTAAGTGGCACCCACCATCAAGAGCAGGGAGTACCCTGCTGCTGGTGCCTCAGCCTCTCCATTAGCTGGGATTTCTGGTGGGCACCAAAGCACCCGGCTTATTTTTTTACTTTTAGTAGAGGCGGGGTTTCACCATGTTGGCCAGGCTGGTCTTGAAGTCTTGAGGTCAAGTGATCTGCCCTTCTGGGCCTCCTAAAAGGCTGGTCATGAGACACTGGGCTGGCTCCACAGATTCTTTTTTAAGTAAAGGTTGTTAGAATTCATGCCTTGGTCCAGTGTCCTATATAAATTTCTCTAAGTATTCATTGACCATGATATATGCTGAGATAAATTGGTATTGCCGCAATGCTTCTGGAAAGCAGTTATTGCAATTTTTGAAGACTTTGGGGAAAAACAGTTTTAATTATTTGCACTGACGTAGGTCAGAGAATATGTGATAAAGATGGACGAGATCAGGGAGATTTTGTTTCACGGATCTGAAAAGCAGGCTCATTTACTTCTGAGGCGACTTAATCTAGGGACCAGTAGAAAATTCCTGTCAGAATATTACATTCTTACACTGAGAATATTTTACGTCCTTGCGCTATGACGGAACACAGGTTTTTTTTTTTCCTCTGAGACGGAGTTTTGCTCTTGTTACCCAGGCTGGAGTGCAATGGCGCGATCTCGGCTCACCTCTCCTGCCTCAGCCTCCTGAGCTGGGATTACAGGCACGCGCCACCATGCCCAGCTAATTTTTTGTATTTTTAGTATAGACGGGGTTTCACCATGTTGACCAAGATGGTCTCAATCTCTTGACCTCGTGATCCACCCGCCTCAGCCTCCCAAAGTGCTGGGATTACAGGCGTGAGCCATCACACCCGGCACTGATTTGGTTTTGTGTGAAGTGTGATTTCCTTAATGTGACCTGCTCTTCTGAATTTGTTTACAGGAGATCGAAAAGATCACGATGAACAGAAAGGCAGAGACAGCAAAAATAAACTTCTTAGGAGTCAAGTGGCCTACTACCTGGGCTGCCGGCTGAAGACGGAAGGTAAGTTCTCTAGGTTCACTGTCACGAAAGTGCTGAACAATGTTCTGTCTTCTTTCTGAGAAATGATACACTCTCTTCAGAGTTAATTTCATCCTTCCCATACTTCTAGGAAAATAGCAATGGGTATTTTAACATTTTGTTAAAGATGGAAGACAGAGGCCAAAGCATTTAGCAACTTTTCCACGTCTGCAGTAAGGCGGGTGTGGGACTAGGGTTAATATCCCAGCTATTGATTCCCGACACAGGCACAGAACCACCTGTTTTTCTCAGCAAGAAGCTAAATCATATTTATAGGAATCCTCTCTGTATCATATAAGATCCTGCAGAACTCATAAGCAAGATAAAGGTAGAAGTGTTTATGTCCTGGCTTCAAGGTGACTAAGTAGCTAAGACAAGTTGACTTTAATGAGATCAAGAGTGGAGATGAGAAGAGTAAAAGCGGGGAAACAACATCTTCAAATCGATAGCCAGTGATGTCAGTGACATCCCTCAGTTCCAATTAAAGCAATTTGAAGTCACCAGTTTCTAACGCATCGTGTGTTTGGGTTTCTTCTCCCCAGTCCCTGGCTATCTGTGTTCTTCCCGAAACATCAGCAAGGTGACATCTGGCAGGCCTTTTTCCAGAAGAAACACTGAGTTGAACGGAAGGCATTGAGAAATCCTGGTCCCAGCAGGAAGATAAACCGAATATCGGAGGCAGCAAAAATAGACTTCTTATGAGTCAGGTGGACTACTCCCTGAACTGTCGGCCGAAGACATGCAGTAAGTTCTATAGGCTGACCACCACGAAAGTTATGAATGATGTCCTGTCTTGTCTCGAGAAACTAACCACTCTCTTCCTCAAAATTAATTTATTTCATCCTTCCCATTCTTGTAGAAAATAGCAATGGGTATTTTTAACATTTAGTTAAAATGGAAGACAGACACCAAAATATTTAGCAACATTTCCACATCTGCAGTAAGGTGGGTGTGGGACTATGGGACTGTGGGACTGGGGTTCCAATCACAGCTATTGATTCCTGACTCAGGCACAGAACCACCTGTTTTTCTCAGCAAGAGGCTAAATCCATGTTTACAGGAATCCTCTCTGTACCGTGTAAGATTTTACAGACAAATAGCATCTAGTCTGCTGGTCTAAATGTGGCTATTGAACTTCCATGCAGTTTCGGTTTCTGATAAGGTCCAGTAGGCAAAGCTGTGTTCTGCGTACCCTGGGGGAAACGCGGTGATAGACAGTACCCACTGTGAGGAGCTTAAAGGGGACCCTGCTCCTAATAGAACCTATGCTTTCTGTAAGTGGCACCATCAAGAGCAGGGAGTACCGAGGTATTGGTGCCTCAGCCAGCCAATTAGCTGGGATCCCCGGTGGGCACCACCACATCTTGCTAATTTTTGTGTTTTATGTAGAGGCAAGGTTTCACCACGTTGGCCAGGCTGGTCTTGAACTCCTGAGGTCAGGTGATCTGCGTGCCTGGGCCTCCTAAGTTGCTTGGATTCCAGATATGAGCCACCATGCTGGCTCCACAGATTCTTTTTCAGTAAAGGTTGATAAATTCATCCGTCGGTCCGGTCTCCTATATAAATTTCTCTAACCATTCATTGGCCATGATATATGATGAGATAACTAGTATTGAAGCAACCCTTCTGGGGAAAGTAGTTAGGGCAATTTTTGAAGGTTTGGGGAGGAAAAGTTTTAATTGGTTGCACTGACTTAGGTCAGAGGACACATGATTAATATCTACCAGATGAGAGAGGTTTTGTTCCATGGGTCTTAAAAGCAGGCTCACCTACTCCTCAGGTGACTTAATCTAGGGTCCAATAGAACATTCCAGTCAGAATATCACATTTATACACTGAGAATATTTTATGTCCTTGTGCTGTGACTGGACACTGATTTGGTCTTGTGTGAAGTGTGATGTGTTCAATGTGAGCTGCTCTTCTAAATTTGTTTACAGAAGATCGACAAGATTGTGAAATACAGAAATACAGAGAAAGCAAAAATAAAGTTCTTATGAGGCAAGCGGCCTACTATATGCGCTGCCGGCTGAAGATTGAAGGTAAGGAAGTTCTATAGGTTCATCATCATCATGAAAGTGCTGAACGATCTTCTGTCTTTTCTCTGAGAAACTGAACACTCTCTTCTTTATTGAATTTTTCCCATACTTCTAGGCAAATATAAATGGGTACCTTAGCATTTTATTAAAAATAGATCCGTCGGTCCAGTCTCTTCTGTAAATTTCTCTAACCATTTGCTGACCATCACATATGATGAGATAAATCAGTATTGCTGCAATGTTGTCCCGCAGTCAAGTGGCCTCTAGTCTGTTGTTCTAAATGTCTGTGGCTGCTGAACTTCCATTCGGTTCCGGTTTCTGCTGAGGCCCAGTAGGCAAAGCAGTGTTCTGGGGACACTGGGGTAAACACGGTGATAACACACAGTACCTGCTGTGGGGAACTTAAAGAGGACTCTGCTCCTTACACAACCTGTGGTATCGGTAAGTGGCACCATCAAGAGCAGGGAGTACTTTTGTATTCGTGACTCGGCCTGTTAGCTGGGATCCCCGGTGGACACCATCACACGGCTAGTTTTTGTATTTTTAGTAGAGGTGGGTTTTCACCATGTTGGCCAGGCTGGTCTTGACTGAGGTCAAGTGATCTCCCTTCCTGGGCCTCCTAAATTGCTCCAATTCCAGGCATGCGTCACTGTGCTGGCTCCACACATTCTTTTCTATGTAAAGCTTGTTAGAATTCATCCGTCAGTCCATTCTCCTCTATAAATTTCTCTAACCATCATATATGACGAGATAAATCAGTATTACTGCAATGCTTCTGGAAAGTAGTTAGGGCAATTTTTGAAGATTTTGGGGACAAAGTTTTAATTGTTTGTGCTGACTTAGGTGAGAGGATACGTGATTAAGATCTAGCAGATAAGGGAGATTTTGTCCCATGGATCTGAAAAGCAGGCTCATCTACTTCTAGGGTGACCTAATCTAGGGACCAGTAGAAATTCTCTTCAGAATATCACATTCTGAAACGGAGAATATTTTTCATCCTTGTTCTATAACTAGACACTGATTTGGTCTTGTGTGAAGTGCGATTTGCTTAATGTGACCTGCTCTTCTGAATTTGTTTACAGAAGAGTCACGGGGAGGAACAGAAGTACAGAGACAGCAAAAATAAACTTCTTATGAGTCAAGACTACCCGGGCTGCAGGCTGAAGACGGAAAGTAAGCTTCATAGGTTCACCGTCACCAAAGTGCTGAACAATGTTCTGTGTTTCCTGTGAGAAACTAAAGGCTCTGTTCATCAGAATTAATTTCATTTTACCATACATCTAGGAAATATAAATGGGTATTTTAACATTTTCTTAAAGGTGGACGAGAGAGGCCAAAGTTATGTAGCAACTTTTCCACATCTGCAGTAAGGTGGGTGTGGGACTGAGGGTAAAGTCTCAGCTGTTGATTTCTGACAAAGGCACAGAGCCACCTGTTTTTCTCAGGAAGAGGCTAAATCATGTTCACAGGAATCCTCTCTGTACCACCTAAGATCCCGCAGACAAGTAGCATCTAGTCTGTTGTTCTAAATGTCTGAGGCTGCTGAACTTCATTCGGTTCCGGTTTCTGCTGGCTCTGTTCTGGGGACATGCGATGGTAGCACACTATACCTGCTACAGGGAGCTTAAAGAGGACTCTGCTCCTTACATACCCTGTGGTATCTGTAAGTGGCATCATCAAGAGCAGAGATTACTCTGGTCAGAGGGACGTCCTGCTGTCTTTGCAGAGGCTCTCATTGGTAAAGAGGAAGAATGATGGCACCCATGACTTTGTGAAGGCAGCAGTGCATAGAGGAGGGACCCTGGGCCAGTCTCCTGAGCTCCCTCCAAGTTGCTTCTTTTGTTTGTTACTCAGTTTTGTCATCTGTTCATAGGATACTATAATAATGCCTACCTCTGTCAATTGCTGCACTGAATTAGATGGCCTATTTCTTGTAACTCTCCCGGGACAGTTGTTGGCACAGAGTAAACACTGTCTATTAGTTTCTTTTTTTTTTGAGTTGGAGTTTTGCTGTTGTTTCCCAGACTGGAGTGCAATGGCATGATCTCGGCTCACCGCACAAGCAATTCTCCTGCCTCAGCCTCCCGAGTAGCTGGGACTACAGGCGCGTACCACCATGCCCAGCTAATTTTTGTATTTTTAGTAGAGACGGGGTTTCACCTTGTTGACCAAGATGGTCTCGATCTCTTGACCTCATGATCCACCCGCCTCGGCCTTCCGCAGTGCTGGGATTATAGGCGTGAGCCACCACGCCCGGCCAACACTGCCTGTTAGTTCTTCATTCTACTGTGTCTAGCATAAGGGAAACTTTATTAGTCTTGGTGCATATTTCTTTTATGGCCTTAGGAGAGGCTCCAGACCTCCATAATTCCACAATGACAGTTTTATCAGTGGTGTTTTCTTCCATGAAACATATGTGGCCATAACATGACTAGGACTTTCTGAATGAGAACACAGATGGGAAACCCATGGATTTGGAGGTCACCGTATTGCAAATGTCCCTCCTTTTGTGATGGATTGTGGTCTTTGGAACAGGAGGCAGCACAGGAAGGAAGCTGTGGCAGGAGGGCAGTTGTTGGAGTGGAAAGAGCTCTGGACTAAGAATGAAGGTCCCAGGCTGTATCTTCAGCAGTGTTCTTAGGAACTGTCAGGGAGCAATTGATTTCTTCTTCCTGACTTTCTCTGCCTCCATCTGCAAAGGCAGGTAAATTTCTCTCTCCCCATCTGCAAAGGCAGACATCTTGCAGTGTCTGAAGCATTCAAATGTGTGAGCACTTATGACCGCTTATCACAATGAGATAAAGCCCCTCGCTGTGTGGTGTTGGAGAAAGCACTTGATGTGTGGGCATTTGGTGGTAGGAAGTGGTTCAGATAGGAGCATTCCCCATGGAGAGAATGTCCCTGAATAACATAGCAGAAGCCACTTGGAGGGCCTGTGAAGTCACCTGATGTGCAGAGGATTGTGGGACAAGTTTGTTTATCCTCTCCTAAGAGAAAGAAATAGGTTGTAAATATGAGCTGTGATGGGACGCCAAGCCTGTCGAATCAGATCTGTGTCGGGATGGCGGGGACAGCTGCCAAAGTCCAGAGAGAGGCTGCACAAGCCTCCAGTGATGTGGGAGCAGAAGGTCTTTTCAACATTCGACCTCATCTTGATGGTGAGCCTCCTGAGCCGAAATGCATTGCCTGGTGGATCAGGAAACCATGCCAGGGCATTTTGTTAAAGAGAAAACATGAGAGCTTTCAGTAGAACAGGGACCCATACACAGATGTTCATGTCCCTGCGCACATTGGGCTGACTGTCCCTGCAGAGTGTGAAATGGGAAATAACTGAACGAACACATCTGTACTTGCAGAAAACGACAAAGACGAGGATGAAGATGTTCATGTCATGGAGGCTGAGAACATCCAGGAATCACGTGCCCCCAGGTAACACTGAAGAAGCCGGAGCAAGTAATGGGTGGTAAAGTATGGAAAAGGTCTAGAAGCACACCCTCTCTGGCGTCTCCCATGGGCCAAAAGCTATGTTCAATTCAACCAACTTTGACACAGGATGTGGCAGCTGTTGTGGTTCTTTGTATGTGCTGAGTACCGTGTCTGAATTATGCAGGGATAACTGAGTCTTTTTTCTTCTCGGCTCCTTTCTGCCCAGTGTAAGGAATACCAGCTGCTGTCTTTCTCTCTGGTTCCCATGGCAGCCACGCTGTGTTGCAGAGAGGACAATGTTGTGGGTGATTTGTGGCACGTGTATAGATTTTAATTTCTGACTCCTCCCTAGATGGGAACCTGCAATCAGATGAGCCAGGTGAACTCAGCAAAGAGGGATTTCCTGGTTTTGCCTGTTCTCCCCACTGTGTTTAAACCCAGGGAGAGACACATATATGCTTTCTGCCCATTTGTTGTGAGTGTGTTTGCTAGGATTTGTGAAGAGAAGAAATTTACAACATAGACATATTATATCAAAATACTGGAAAAAGGAGGCCCTTAATACACCAGATCTGGGTGTCTGAAGTGCCTCAAGAGCTGTATCCATTGAATGCCGCATGTAAAATTCAACACAACTTACGTGAGGTGGTTGAAGCCCCGTGTTAGTTCTCGTGCTGCAAGTCGTGATGAGAGTTACAGGGAGAGTCTGTGTGGCCTGCAGTGGCTCATCTGTGGCAACATGCACTGAGCACATGCTGCTCATTTGTGCTCTGTCCCCAGGGTAGTCGCCCTCCACCCTGCATTTAGAAGCGATAGTTTTTTTTCTCTTGAAGGAAAAATGCCTTTGCTTTCTGTGACCACTCCATTCTGACTTCCATCAGATCAGCTGGGAGACTTTGTTGTCTAATCCATGTTGGTTTAATCTTCTGTCATCCCTGTCCTGCCTGGCTCATCAGGAATCTGCAGGAGTCTGTGGAGGAGGAAGCCCCCCAGGAGTCCTGGGATGAAGATTATTCGACTCTCTCAATTCCTCCTGGCACATTTGCCTTCAATGAGCTTTACAGGACCAACTTGCACTCATTAGAGGAACAGCAGGTCAACTTGGCTCATGACATAGACAGTGAGTACTCTGTTGTGAAAATGGTAAAGCTCCACTTTGTGTCCCAGATAGACCCCATAGTCTTTGTGCATTGCTCCCTGGCCGCGCTGAGAGTTGTCATCACTGTGGGCTGAACCTATTCATCAGTGCAGATTTCAGTCACTCCGGATTCCAGTCTGAAGCACGGGCATGGGGTGGGTCAGTGAGCTTTGCTCTCTCTCTAGTCTCAGTCCATGCCCGTGGCACCCTGGACCAACTGTCAGGACGTTGAAACCCAAGGCAGCTGTTGCAAACTCACACCAAGCTATGCAGCACATGCCCATGAGTTGTCTGTCAATCTGAATTAAATGTCTCTTGCCAGCTACCAAGTTCCTCATGAGTTTGTTTCACAAGCATGTCTGTGAGGTTCTTTCCTGTTTGTACAAACTTGGCATAACTTTTTGTACAAACTTGGGATAAAGGGATAATGGTCTACCAGAATAGGGACGTTTCACCATTGGTTCTGAGACACAAACCAAGGAATCTCTATCATGATTGGCCTTGAGACCTCCTGAAGTCTCTCTCTCACGTTATCCTGTTCTCAAGCTGAGGAGTCTGAGGTCCCTGTGCAGGGATTAGACAGTGGACTGTTATGGGTGTAGGGCAATGGCTAACTTTGTCCCTATCTGAATTTATTGCAGAGATTAAAAAGGACCGAGAAGAGGAAGAAGACCAAGGCACACTGTGCCCCAGGTAACTTTGAGCAACTGTGAACAGCTAATTTTGTGTTGACACCTGGAGACGCCAGGTCCACGGAAAACAGAGTGGGCTGACAATATCGATACTATCTTTTCAATGAAGCCTGAAGTATTCCTCCAAACGTCGCTGTTGGTTTTCATTGCAGTAGATACTTAGGTTTCCTTCCCATTTACTAACTGCTGTAGGTTGACCATACTTGTTTTTATGATCAGTGTACGCTGTGTGTCCTGAGGGTACTGACTCAGAGTGTCCTTTTACTCCCTCATCAGTGAGTCACCTGGACGGTTCACTGAGCTTACTTTACTTTCTCTCTCTCTCTCTCTCTCTCTCTCTCTCTCTCTCTCTCTCTCTTTTATTCTTTTCTCCCCTACTCTTGTCCATCCCAGCATAAGGCAATAGTTTGTTACGTCATTAGTAGATCTATGTTTTTTCTTATCAACCACTTTCTTGTGCTACCCATGAAATCTAGTTGGGGCTCTGCGGTGTCTTATTTTTTCTGACTTATTCTTGGTTTTTCCTCCTTTTTTAGGCTCAGCATGGAGCTGGTGGAAGCAGAAGAGCCTGAAGTCTTCTGGTACTCACTGGATATATTGTATTCAACATATACAGCTTATCTTGAGTTTTATTACACATGCCAGGCTTATACATATGCCGTTTTTTATATGCAGAAGAGCATGTTTGCTTGACTTTGGACATGGACAGTAGGTTTCTTACTATGACGGTGGTAGGACTCCACCTGGTCTCCCGGATAGGGGTCATATTCCCACACTAAGACAACGTGTCACACGGGACTCTTGCCAGTGCAGAGTATGAACCCCACACCATGTTCTTTCTGAAACACTTAGCCCGAGTTTCATAGCCTGAGGTAATCTCCAGACAACTTCAGAATGTAGAACAGTGAGCGGCACAACTGACCTGTCTCCTTCAGACAGCCCATGTCACCACAAATCACACAACTGAAAGGAGAAGAGACATTTTGGGCTGAAAAAGAGTAAAAGGAGAATGTAGCTACATTTCTTAGTTCTTTTGAACCAAAGTGTCTCCTCACCTTTTTGTTGTTGTCGAGGTAATCTCCAGACAAACTTCAGAATGTAGAACAGTGAGCGGCACAACTGACCTGTCTCCTTCAGACAGCCCATGTCACCACAAATCACACAACTGAAAGGAGAAGAGACATTTTGGGTTGAAAAAGAGTAAAAGGAGAATGTAGCTACATTTCTTAGTTCTTTTGAACCAAAGTGTCTCCTCACCTTTTTGTTGTTGTCGATGATGGTGGGG